ATTGAATAAACAATTCCAACAAAATAATCATGGTAGTCTAATATCACAAACTTTTTTCACAGTTTTTTTTACACATTTTTATCCCAAAAGAAAGAAACTGGATTGTATTATATTACTAGGTGACGATGCATACTATGGCAGTTCTTTACCCCCCACATATATCATTGCAAAATCATAAACTAGATTATTTTAATGCAATTTTGGCTCAAGTTAGGATGTTATTCAAGAAACCCCATGAATATACAGCTTGATTGCACATTAAGCCCATGGCATCATACATCATAGCATGTGGCAGCTCACACTCTTGCCTCGGACAAGTTAAATGCTGTGTTCAATGCAAGGGATAGTGTGTTTGTAGTAATTAAAGGTAAAACAGAATATTTTCTATGGGAAGTTTGGGTACTTGGGAAATTCATTCCAGTATAGAATGGGGTCATCATCATATTGTCTATGGGATTTGCAATGCACCGTGGTGAGTTCGGTGTGGGAACCCACTGACCCACATTGCCTGGCTTTCCCCTCCCCCTTTCCCACGAGGAGGAAGCGTCCACCACCCGGGTCCCCCCCCCCCCCCCGGGCCCCCCCCCCCCCCCCGTTGATCCTAATGCAACACAAGAAGCCTCCTGTTGCCGCTGTGGTGACATATGATGTTCCTATTCTACTTTCACTGTGGAGCACTGCTGGAAGTAGTTTGATGTCATGTAATGGGAGCCAGCAATCCCTGTGGTGCAAGTAGGGTAGGACTGTTGTACGATGGGCAATTTAGCCCATCTAATGAGGTCATAGGAAAAGTACAGAAGAAACATATCAACATATCAAGTTAAGAACCCAGAGTGGGTCAATTGTTCTCTACATGTTGACATGAGGAAGGCAAAGAAAATGATGCAGCTGCCAATGTAATTCTTAGGTGTATCCATAAGTATACAGTGTGCAGATCACATACCATCTGGCATTGCCCACCAAGAACCACACTTTCTCCTAATTTAGCACATACACGCACAGACTTCTCCCCAAATATAAATAAAAACTGCTTTTCATTTCATTTTTTTCACCCTTTACATTTCCAGTTATGTATGCACATGTTTTAATGAAGAAACAGTAGAAAAAGACAAAATACATGTTTTTCTCTAAAACTTTAAGACCCTTCTGTCTTTTCCATACATTTCCAGGTGTGTGTGTGTGTGTGTGTGTGTGTGTGTGTGTGTGTGAGAGAGAGAGAGAGAGAGAGAGAGAGAGAATGAGGGCAAAATTAGCACACTATGACATTATGACCGGTTCTGTTCAACATCTTTATCAATGTCTTAGATGAAAGGTAAGAAGGCATGTATACAGTATCTTCCTGAGGTGAAGCACTTATTACAAAACAAAGTTCCAATACAGGGATGTCTCCCTTATCTGATCCTCCCCTGATCAGATACTTAATAAGCTTATTCTTTAGCCTTTCTTTAGACTAACGGAATAAGTGGTTATGTTTCCCTTATCAGCCTCTCTAGCCTAAGAAACTTCCAGTAACTTAATCTGGCTTTCCAAAGCCTCGAAACTTTGCTTCACAATTCACTCTCTTACAGCTATAACCTCCTAATCTTTCCTCTATCAATTCCTCACCCTCAAATCTTAACTCCTGACTGCTCACTCCTCTAAACCTAAAACCTAACTCATGACTGTTCACTCCTCTAAACCTAAACCCTAACTGAACATAAACTGTCGTTTTTCAAACTCTCCCCTCTAAGCTCCTCCCACTTCTCTCTCTAGCCTACATCGTCTCCATGGCAACGCACTCCTCTGACTTAGGCCGCTCCAGCATTACTGCAGCCAATATAAACACAAATACAGTTAAAATCATACAATTTATAATCAACTTCTGTACAGCATGATCATCAAGTTTGCATATGACACCAAATTGGGAGGGATAGCCAACAGAATGGGGGATGCCTGGCCCGAGAGCAGTACATGTGAAAAAGATCTTGGAGTCCTTTTGGACAACATGCTAAAAATGAGCCAACAATGTGATGTGGCAGCAAAAAAACCAATGGGATTTTGTCCTGCATCAATAGGAGTCTAGTGTTTAGATCCAGGGAAGTCATGCTGATGACTTTCAAGCTGATCTTGGAGGGGACGTGGTTTTAAAAAGGGAATTTTCATATATTTCCCCTATGCCCATATGTCATGATTTACTGCCATATTGGCCTATTTCTGCAGTAGGCCTTTGTTCACAGAAAATGCTGATTGTTTGAGAAATCAGTGCTCCAAAGAAGAAGTTACTATTCAAGGATAACAACATATCCGGACAAAACCAGCTAGCTGTTTGCTAGATAGAACCCCCAAGTTTCCCAGTCGCTCTGAAGCCATGTTTGCAACAGACTAACAGATAAGATACAGTCATGGTCAGAGAACAATGGACCATAGTTATGTTATAGCTGTGCCATTGTTAGGATCCCACGTGTACTATGATGTCAATCAAAATCATAAACAACTAATGAACAACTGTATAAGCTAACTTAGACCAATGAAATGATTTGTCTTTGGGAACCAATGAGATGATTGATTTCTATGTACCAATCAAACTGTTTTAATGAAAGTCATAAATAATCAATGCAACCAACTTTAGGTTGGACAAACTCCTTTATTGCATTTCTATATGCATGTTTGTCACTATTGCTTCAGCTGCGCAATAAATAGCATTTTGCAGTTTTAAAGATTCAACTTTCGTGGTGTCCTTCCTCGCCCTCCTTGGGAAGGGGCAATCTGCTCTTGGATTTTGGATTTGTGGATTATCTTGATCGTTTTTGCCCCTACAATCTGACCAGCCGCAGGGAGTTCCGCAGTTCCTGGATGTCCAGTTGGACCATAACGGATGAAATGTGCCCCAGCAGCAGCCTCAA